TTACCAAGAAAATATCCTTAACTACTGAACAGAGTATACCTACTTTCCCATCTATGTGAAATCATTGCAAGAATGATCTGTTCCTGCTTCAAGGGCATCCTTGATGAAGATACCAGAAGGAAGTGAAAGCCTTTCAGAAATTACATTCTGTAGCACATCACATGTTGGCAGTCATACAGTTGACTAAAAAAGTATGGAGAAAGCAAAATCCTGCTGTGGTCATTGTCTGTACATGAAAACTCATTTGGCCTGGCTCCTCTTTCAGTCTTTCCTATCCAGCTGGCTGCCATCTCCTGTGATTCTCCTTACTTGCCATCTCTTACCTGCATCCCTTCTCTTGGTTCACATCAAAATTCCCTAAGTCCAGGGTATCATTTATTAGGTTTGAAGTTGTTTTGCACTGAAAAGTCACTTAATTGTTTTCCCTGAGTCCATTCTTTCCAATCCATCTTCTTCACCATTCCTAACTGATCTTTCTAAAATACATGTTTCACCCTGCCATTCACTTGCCCAAGAAGCTTTACTGGCTTTCCTGTGTCCCTATGAAAAAATACAAACTTCAAGGTTTTTTGTTTAAAGCTCTTCAAAGTCTGTCTCCAACTTATCTTTCCAGAAGGGGTACGTGTTCCCATCCCTTCTTTATGCACTCTAGATGCAAGGCATACTGGTCTGCTGTTCCCCAAATGCACCATACCACCTTTGTCCCCTTTGTTTCTGCAGTCACGGTATAAGAGCATTGCAGGCATTAGTGGTCCTTACAGCTGCCTTTTGGAAGGCCTTCTGCTTCACTCCTGCTTCTTTCAAGGCTCAGATCAAGGGCTACTTCCTTTATCAGGCCTTTTCTGATTCCCCAGCCTCCATCCACTTGGTATTTATTTTGAATAAATCCTTCTCTATGAACGTATTGTCTTCCTCTCAAGGCCACATGTGGCCTTCTAGAAGGTCCTTGGGTTCAGCCTTTTGACTGAATCCACGTTTTACAGAACAAATCCTCTTATTAAGGGAATTTGTTCTGTGAAGTTTGAATTCAGTCAAAGGGCTGCACTTAAGGACCTAGAGGGCCACATGTGGCCTGGAGGTTGCAGGTTGCCCACCCCTGCCCTAGTAGATGCAGGCTTCTCAATAGCAAGGATTGAGGATCATCTCACTTTTGTATTCGTATCTCACGTGTAGAGTGAAGTCACATAGTAGGCGCTTCAATGCTTGCTTCTTGACTGATTATATTTTTTAATTAAAGATTCTCTTCCAATAAGATGTCTTTCATGTTTATATCAACTATGCAAGGTAATTTAAGAAATAGATCTTTTGTTCAACATTTAATTGCAGTCTGTGCATCGGAGGCTAATACTTATTACCAAAAGTGTCTGCCACGGGTATGAAAGACAGCCACCATGGGAGTCCATAATGAAGGAAAATGTTCTTTAATGCCAAGGTACTCCGGATGCTCTTTTTTGCAGATGACATTGTGAGGCTTCCATTATGCCCCAGAACAATGCAGATTCTCTCAGATGAACTCAGTAAACACTCAGAAGTTTGACTTGTTTACTCAGAAAAAAAAGAAGTTTGTTCTACAGACGTTATTACATGTACTTAGATGAATAGCCCATAGAGTGGATCCATTAGCAGCTATATCTTAAACCATAATTGCAGCTGGACAGAAATTGGACAGGGCGAAAAAGGCAGATGGGGCTGCTTTTGGAACACAAGATGGTATTTTTAATGGTCCCTAACTTCTTCCTGAAGCAAAGGCTCATCTTAGCATCAGTATTCTTCCAATAATGTTGTATGTCTGCACGTTATGGAATCCCACAGGCTCTCAAAGATTAAAATTGCAGGTCAACCAGAGGATAGTGAGAAGGTACCTTTGTAAGCATGAGTAAGGGGCCACATATTACCAGCAAAACATCACACAGGAAAAAGCATCAGAGAGATGCATGAGAAAAGGTTTGGTAACTGGTCATGGAGCAAGAACAGGAGATAATTGGTGGTCAGCCCATGTGCTCCTTTGGCATCTTTGCATTCTCAAGAGATCAGAGGATGACCTCCAGCACTTTAAGTCATTCCCCCATTCACTCACTCACCTGTGGAGGAATTATGGGAGGGCATGGATAAGATTCACATTAGATAAAAAGATGAGATTGAACTGCAGGGCACATGACGAAGATTAGGCAAATTCTGTGACGGAAGAAAGGTCAGTTCCCCCTGGGAACTGAGGAAGTGGGGTCTAAATTGCAAAGACAAATATAAATTGAAAAACCAAACCAAATTGGTACTAAGGTATGAGAAATGCTGTGATCTAAAGAGCAGGCAGACTGGTTGCCAGAGGGATTTAAGGCATAAAAAATTTAAAAAAAAATCATTAGGGAGTTAACTGTATAGCTCAGTCTAATTCCCCAAAACTTCTATCTTGTCTGTCTAATTATGGCTGCATCCCTCAGCTGTACCTGAGGCTAGCATGCTGTTATCGTGGGGTAGTGTTGCTGTCTCGTCTATTTCAATTGGGGAATGACTGGGGTAGTTCAGGCTTGTGTTGAATACAAAGGAAAATTAAGCCCAGCAAGACATTTGCAGATGGAAAAACAAAATGACAGTAGAAGGTAATATAACATTTACATGCCATGTACATACGTGTCTACATACAAATACATACACTACATATGTGTGTGTGTGTTTATTTCTGTAGGAGTTAAGAAGGAGGTTAAGATATGTAAAAGTAGTTGTCTGGAAAGGCTTCGTGGGAGAAAGGAAGTAAAGGGTGACTGGAATTTGGAGTCTTGGGATAGGCATCCATGCATTTTCCTCATCAAGTCCACTTTTTCCCCAGCACCTCCAGTGATATTTGAGCTCAGGCTCAAGGGATAAAAAGAGTTTAATAAGGTCTAAGCTTCAGTCCTTCTAATTAATTTGTTTTTAAAAGCCTGCGGGAATGGGGAAACAAGTCATAAAAGTTGACTTGGAAAGGGGTAACCTGAAACTCTTCAAAAGTAAATGGGCATAACCAGAAAAAAAATCCTCAGAAAAACAGGTATAAAGTAAAAGCTGCACATAGGCTCTGTGTTTCCTTTAGTTGCAGCAATGGATGGCAGGCCCAGACAGCTTTTCCTCTCTCAGTTTGATCTTCTATAATATTTCTGGAACTGGAATGCTCATTATTAGCCAACAGGCCAACTTTTAAGCTTCTTGCATTCTAGGCCATCACTTCCTTAACGTAGGAAGGTTTGGCAACTGGTCATATAACAAAAGCAAGGAATCATCAGTGATCAGCTGGCATCCTTGCTGGATGAGCAGTGATCAGAGGATGACCTCTAGCACATCAGGTGGACTACCCGGTGAATGACTTGTGGGACTTGTACATGGGCAAAGTTTACAATGAATAAGAGGTTAGGAATGGGAGATGGGCCACCTGCCAGGGATTAGGCAAACTCCTAAGTGCAAGATTAATTTTTTTAAAAACTCATCTCATCAGAGGGCACTTAGGAAAGCCCTCCTTGAGCATATTGTCCATGTGTTAGTTACTATTCAGGGCAAATTAGCTGGTCTCTGCCCTTAAGTGGCTTAAAACCAGTAGGGTGCAGGTATTCCTGAATTTAGAAGAAATATATTCCCCTGTTACCCACCTTCTACTTTTCATTATTGGCAGCTGGATAGATATCATTTGTGGATATATCTAGAAAGAAGAGCGTAAATGACCGCATGAGAAGAAAGTTATGTGGTCCTGGAGGCTTCAGAGATCTCTGCCCATGCAGGGTGATGACGTAGGCAGGCCCAGGTATGATTGGGGAACCCTGATGTTTCAGGAGACCGAGCCATATACTTGAGCTGTCTGTCAGTCAGCAGCCTACTGTTAGGGCACAAGGTTTCTTTGAAATGTATCCATCCCAGGAGCCTAAGGCAGTTACACATGTATGTTTAATCCCTAACTAGTACCTCATAAGGATGAATCTGTAAAAATAAAAGTCTGAAAATTTCTGGTAATATGTAAAAGCTGGTCTAAGTCAGAATTCTTTTTCTGAAAAATGAAGACATAAATGTGCCCGGGCAGGGGTAGTAGGGGGAGGGATGGGAGTTGAAGGAGCTCCTTGTCCTCCATTTCACCCTGTTTTATTAGCACAGTTCCTCTTTATGGCCCAGAAAATATGGCAGCCAGACAAAGCTAGAGTATATGGTTCCCATGGTAATGACTCCTAGTTCCTGATGCCATATACCACCTGGTGTTCCAGCCTGAACAGCTGCAACGGATCTTATTAAACAGCAAGAAAAGTAATACACATGTGCGGGAACAGAGCGCTTATACTCACCTGAGCCTGTGGGTCTGTTATGCAGTTTGAGTTGCTATGTTGCTAGGTGTTTCAAGACAAAATGTGGTACATACAACAAATTTCTTGTTGATTATTAATGCAAAAATATTTAGAAATATTTTAAAGTCAGCAATTACAAGGAATGAGTCATGCACTTATTTTCTGAATTTTGAAAAGGTCTTCGTTTGGAGATGATTTCTGTGAAGAGGCCTTTATAGCATGGGTACAAATGGCAATGTGCCCTGAAAAGGTCACAAATGCCATCTTTTTCAGAGAGTGCTTAGATAAAATGTCTTAATGCCAAAGTGGACAGTACTAGATGTGCCTGGTTGCTTAACAAAATTGGTTATTTTAGTTCCCTCTCATTTTGCCTTACATCCTCAAATTGTTTTCCCTTCAGCCCATATCCATGATGAGTGACTGCTCAGAGATCTCTGGTCTAGCAGCCAGTCAGAGTCTTTGTTTATATTTTTAAAGACAAATACTTTTTACAGGATGCAAACTCATTAAGCACAAGAAAAATGCTGCTTTTAAGAGGAAAAGCAAAACTATGAATGCTTCTTTGTTGCATGCCATTAAGATTGTGCCTTAAAGCATTTTAAAGGTTTTTTCCCCCTATTCTAAAATTAAATGTTGAGCATGTTCAATACTGTAAACAAATACCCCCTTTTGTGAGTCCTGCCATGGTTTTTTACCCTGCAGAGCCAAGGAGCGATCACTGAACGTTTGAGAAGTTTCAGCATGCACGATTTAACAGCCATTCAAGGAGATGAACCTGTGGGACAGAGGCCCTATCAGCCTGCCCCTGAAACTAAAAAGAAAACCAAAACCACTGCCAGTGAGTCTACAGGTATGTGTTTGGCCAGTTAGTGGCCCCTGCCATCATTGGAGAAGGTAGGTTCTCATTCAAGCCTGTCAGTGACATCAGGGTTAAGGGCAGAAGCCTGAAGTATGCAGTGTCTTCAGCCAGATTTCTTTGTATCAATGTGTCTTGTATTCTTAACATTTGTCTGGGGCTCTTAAAATTCCAAGTTTTAACTTTTCCTTGTTCGTCTTTCTGTACCTTTTCCCCAAGTAAGATTTGTTGGCTGGTTTGACTTGGAGAGGAGATAAAGCAAAGTCTCTCTCAGGGTCTGAATCACCTGTGCCTCTGGCAGCAGCCTCTCCTCCTGTCACCACATTGCAGGCTGGCTTCAGTGACAGCATGGGCCAGTAGGCATCCCCTAAGGGACTCCTCCTGCCCTTTCCCTCCCGATTCTAGGAGACACAGATGGGCTGCCAACTTAGAGAGAGATTTGCGTTTGGAACAGCTTGGGAATGGTATCTCCAATCACACTGTTTATTCTCCTGTTTTTTACAACATTTAAGGAATTTTCTGCTTGGGCAACCTTTGTACGTTGCTAGTTACACATAATGACAAATTAGTTCATTTAATAATGTGTGAATTTTGGGGTAAGGTAGTGGAGAAGATAAATCTGATTAAACATGGGATCACTGTATGAAATGCTCATTAGGTCTAATTGTTATGAATAGCCCCAGAGCTGAGACACAAAATAGTAACAATAAAAGTAAGCATCCAAGTCACCCAAGTTCTCGGTGCTCCAGGCAATGCTCTGAGATGTTCAGATGCTGAACATTTGCTGCTCTGCACCTGTTGGCAGAGGGAGTTCTTCATGGGGAGCCCCCTTCACAATGGCGATACAAGGCCAGAACCACATGTGCATGTGTGCGTACACACAGACATACATACCCATGAAGATAGTTCCTAGAACTGAGAAAATGCTTCTGAAATTAAGTCACTTGCAATAAGTAGTACTCAATTCCGTGGGGATCATTTGTAACCAAACCTTTATTTGTCATGTAGTGATATTTTAGATCCACAGCCTCTCGGAGTTGGGAGGGACTTCAAAAGCCAGGGACTAGTCCCATCTGTACCTGAGCTAAGATTCCTCCTGCAACATTCCCCTTACGCTGAGGAACCCACTCCTTCCTGAGGCAGTCACTCCACATCTGGAGAACTGTAATTGTTCGGATTGCATCAAGCCTCAGTCTGCCTCTCTGACATCATGCACCCTCTGAGGCTAAGCAGAAAGCAGCTAACCCCTCCTCTACTTTATAGTCCTTAAAGATCACTTTCCTCCCCAGATGATCCAGACAGAATGTGTCCGGCTTCTTCCGCCTATTCTCCTATGATATGGCCTTCCCCATCTTGACTGTCCTCTCTGGACAGCCTCCACCTTATCTGTTTCTTTCTTAAAATGGGCCCACAACTGAACAGATCCTGTCTCACCAATGCCGTGTAAAGTGTCCCAGAGTCTCTGGATTTTCTGCCACTCTCAGTGCACCCCAAGATCCCATTAGTCTTTTGGCTGCCATACATCACTGTCAACTCATTGAGGCTGCAGTTCATTAAGCCCCACAGATTTCATTCAGCCAAACTGCTTTCTAACCAGGCTTCCTCCATCTGGGACTTGTGAAATGTTTTTTGAACCCACAAGTAGAATTTTACATTTACCCCTATTTTGTCTTTTTCACTTCAGCCTAGGATACCAGTACTGTTTAACATATAAATGTTTAACATAAAAATAAACATATAAATAAAAGAACAGAAAGTTCTTCATATCTTAGGATACTGTCTGTCAGCTAGCATTATTAAGTACTCTGTATGTGCCAGGCACTGTGTCAGTCACTGGGTTTACAAAGAAAGGCAGAAGAAAGTCCCACCTCTCAAGCAGCTCACGGTCTATAAACAGCTATGTACAGACAAACTTACCCGTGGGATAAAGTGGAGAAAATCAACAGAGGAAAGACACTTGCATTAAGGGGCACCAAGAAAGGGTTCTTGAGGAAGGTGGGATTTTAGCTGGGATTTGAAGGAAGCGAGGAGGCAGTGACAGTGAGGGAGAAAACGTTCCGGATCTGGGGAACAGCCAGTGAAAGTGTCTAGAACGGGCAGATGGAGCATCTTGGGAAAGGAGCCTCGAGAGGCCAGTGTCACCGACTCTCAAGTTGAGTGGATGAGAGTAAGGTATAAGAAGACTCGAAGCGTAGGGAGGGGCCATAAAAGCCAAGCAGAGGGTTTTCTGTTTGATCCTAGAGGTGATTACTCCTGACCAAGAGCCCCCAGCAATGACAAGATAGAGGGGGTGGTGGGGCATGACGTAGTGTCCATCTCTAGGGCTGGCTTTTCTGGCCCTTTGGGTCCTGGAATCCTCTGAATCCTCCCAGATCTGCTCTTCCCAGATCTCATGTGCACGTGACGCTGTTCGACTTTCTTCTCCGTCACAAACGCAAGAAAGGACAGAGATTAGCCTCTGTGCTCTGGTCAGAATTACCCAGCCGACACTCCTCATCTCTGACACGGCGTGCTTCTCCAGTGGCCTTTCCATCCCTTTCTGTCCAGGCGGCCTGTAATGTTCTCCAGTAGCACAACTGCTCCTCCTGCCTCTGTCAGTCTTTTTTCTTTCTAGGCAAGGTGGAGTTCATTCTTTTAAGAGAACAAGCCTGGGGCGGAGCCAAGATGGCGGAGGGAAAGCAGTGACTTACTAGAGCTCTCCCCCAAACCCCTCCAAATACCTACAAAAAATGGCTCTAAACAAATTCTAAAGCAGCAGAACCCACAAAAAAACAGAGTAAAACAAATTTCCAGGCCAAGATAACCTGGATGGCTGATCTGAAAGGTATATCGCGCCGGGCTGGGAGAGGAGCACAGTTTGGTATGGGCGCGCAGGCCGCAGCGACCCTGGAGCAGGCCTCAGAGGACTGAATCGCGGGCAGCTGTGGCAGTTTCCAGACTTCTCAACTCACAAACGCCAAAGACAACTTAGAAGGACAGTGGGAAAAGTCTGTGACTGTGGTGAGAGAAGAAGCTAGGTCTCAGCCACCTCCCGGGGCAGCGGCTGGTTTCTGAGCTTCCGACCCACAGACTGAGGGGGAATTGAGTGGCTGATCGGGGGGGATTGCAAGGATCTCTTTGCCGGGCTGAGGCAAGAATCTCTTGCTTTACCTGTGCTTGGATCTGGGTCACAGTTCTGAGGGGTGGTCCTGGGGCGAGAAGGAGCGCTGGCGTTGTGGAGCTTGTTGTGGCGGTGGAGAGAAAACACCTTGCCCCTTATCATACCACCTTGGAAGAACTGACACTTTTCAGGTCCCTGGAAGTATCTCTGAAAACAGCTGTACAAACCCCTGAAGCTTGGGACAGTACATTCTCCACATTGGAAACAGACTTTTACCTTAACAAAGAGTTTAAAACTCAAGTAATTGGTTGGGGTCATGAGCAAGCAGGGCAAAAAGAGTCAGACTATATTATCTTACTTTGGTGACAAAGAAGATCAAAACATACAACCAGAAGAAGAAAACAAAGTCAAAGCTCCTACATCCAAAACTTCCAAGAAAAATATTAATCAGTCCCAGGCCTTGGAAGTTCTCAAAAGAGATTTTGAGAAGCAAGTAAGAGAAGTAGAGGAAAAACTGGGAAGAGAAATGAGAGTGATGCAAGAAAATCATGAAAAGCAAGTTAACAGCTTGCTAAAGGAGACCCAAAAAAAATACTGAAGAAAATAACACCTTAAAAAATAGCCTAACCCAAATGGCAAAAGAGGTCCAAAAAGCCTATGAAGAAAAGAATGCCCTAAAGAGCAAAATTGGACAAATGGAAAAGGAAGTCCAAAAGATTACTGAAGAAAATACTTCCTTAAAAATTAGAATAGAGCAATTGGAAGCTAGTGACTTTATGAAAAATCAAGACACTGTAAAACAAATCCAAAAGAATGAAAAATTAGAAAACAATGTGAAATATCTCATTGGAAAAACAACTGACTTGGAAAATAGATCCAGGAGAGAGAATTGAAAAATTATTGGACTGTCTGAAAGCCACGATCAAAAAAAGAGCTTAGACATCATCTTTCAAGAAATGATCAAGGAAAACTGCCCTGATATTTTAGAACCAGAGGGCAAAATAGAAATTGAAAGGATCCACCAATCTCCTCCTGAAAAAGATCCCCAAAGGAAAACTCCTAGGAATATTGTAGCCAAATTCCAGAGTTCCCAGGTCAAGGAGAAAATATTGCAAGCAGCCAGAAAAAACAATTCAAGTATTGTGGAAACACAATCAGGATAACACAAGATTTAGCTGCTTCTACATTAAAGGACTGCAGGGCATGGAACATAATATTCCGGAGGGCAAAGGAGATAGGATTACAACCAAGAATCACCTACCCAGCAAAACTGAGTATAATTCTTCAGGGGGAAAAATGGTCGTTCAGTGAAATAGAGGACTTTCAAGCATTCTTGATGGAAAGACCAGAGCTGAATAGAAAATTTAACTTTCCAATACAAGACTCAAGTGGAAAATGAAGAGTTAAACAGGAAAGAGAAATCACAAGAGACTTATTAAGGTTGAACTGTTTACATTCCTGCATGGAAAGATGATATTTCTAACTCATGAGACCTTTGTCAGTATTAGGGTAGTTGGAGGGAAAAAATTGTATGTATGTATATATATATGGATAGATAGATAGATAGATAGATAGATAGAGGGCACAGGGTGAGTTGAAGATGAAGGGGTCATATCTGGAAAATACAATTAAGGGGTGAGAGAGGATTATACTAGGAGAAGGAGAAAGGGAGAGGTAGAATGGGGTAAATTATCTCACAAAAAAAAAAAAAACCAGAAAAGAAAAGGCTCTTACAGTGGAGGGAAACCGGGGGAAGGTGAGAGGGAATGAGTGAATCTTATTCTCATAGGATTTGACTTAAGGAGGGAATAACATACACGCTCAATTGGATGTGGAAATTTGTCTTACCCTGCAGGAAAATAGAGGGGGAAAGGGACAAGAGAGTAGGGGAATGATAGAGAGGAGGGCAGATTGGGAAAGGGAGTAATCAGAAGCAAATACTTCTGAGGAGGGACAGGGTCAAAAGAAAGAATAGAATAAATGGGGGGGCGGGATAGGATTAAGGGAAATACAGTTAGTTTTTCACAGCATGTCTACTATGGAAGTGTTTTGCATAACTGCACATGTATAGCCTATATTGAGTTGCTTGCCTTTTCAATGAGGGTGGGTGGGGAGGGAGGAAGGGAGAAAATTTGGAACCCAAAGTTTTAAAAAATACATGTTTAAAAAAAATATTTTCACATGCAACTGGGAAATAAATACAGGAAATGGGGTACAGAAATCTATCCTGCCCTACAGGAAAATAGAAGGGGAAGGGGATAAGAGAAGGGGGGAGAGATACAAGGGAGGGGTATTCAGAATGCATGTCATCTTGGGGTGGGGGAGGGGCGAGATGGGGTGAAAATTTGGAACTCAAAATCTTGTGGAAGTAAATGTTGAACACTAAAGATAAGTAAAAGAAAATTTAAAAAGAAAAAGAAAAAGAAAACAAGTCATACAACAGCCTGAGGATAAAGCAGTCGTGATAGAAAGGAGATTCAGATTTCAAATCTGGTCAGAGGATGTTTTACAAGTTGTTGTAATTGGTTCTCTCTCTTGCTTCCTTGGAGAGGGAAAAAAAACATGTGTGATCCAAACCATCTAACAAAGAAAGTCACCAAATCCTGAAAAAAATGTTCCTCTCCTATGAATTTTTCTTCAAGTTCTTCTAAGGCAGGAAGAAGAGAAAATGAAGCATTTTTGCTTTTCTCTCCTAAGCTATTTCCCCAAAGCTCAGACCAATAAGAGAATATTTCTTTCATTCTTCTCTTCTGAGCTTTCCTTTCCTGATCCAGCCACCTGGCCCTGAACTTTGGGCTTCCCATTCTTTTAGTCAGCCCTTCTTTTACCCTTTTGCTCTCTAGTCCGTAGTCATTCTCTCTTCTTAGCCTGCTTTTGGCCTCTGGAAAAGGAAGGTGCTTCTCTCCTGGAGCTCTTGGCCCATTCTTTCTGGTCTTGGCTGAAACCACTGGACACAAGGAGACATCCCTGAGCTGCACAGCCAGTGTACGGGGAGAGGCCTGGCCACTCTCTTTCTTGCTCTTAGGCTCTTTCAAAGGCAGTTTTTGCAGTACTCTGGATGAACTATCCTAAATTCTCTGTACCCTTCTTTCTTTTTCAGTTGAAAACATGATTTTCTAAAAGGTCCTGCTTAGGACCTTTGGGAAAAGTCAACTGAAGAAGGTTTATCTCAGTAGGGTTTCTTCTGTTTCTTTAACATGTTACTGCCTTAAAAACTGAGCCTGTCAGCAAGGCAGTATTCAAGGTGGGGAAGCACATAATGGGGGGCCTGGTTCCTTCAAATTAGCATCAGGTAGTTTGTTCTGTGGTACTAAAGAGTTTTAAGGGGCTATAACAAGTAGGGTAATAGATAACACAGTGGTACCAGGGTTATTTGGCATGGGTGACAGCTGGTTGATTTCCTCAGATCAATTTCCTTCCTGACTTAATCAAATCTATTGTCTGAAGACAATTTCTCTCTTCTAGACCCAAAAGAATATAATTGATTTTCGTTCTGCTCTTTTTAACTCACAATTTTTAAAAGGTTTTATGAGATAAAACTGGAACTTTCCCAATTGTGTTTTCCTATCTCTTTTACTTTTAAATCAGATCTGTGGATTATGATTTCACCAGTGTAGGGAGTTCCCAGTAAGGAAACCCCCTCTACCAATGCCTATTGGCACCTGCTCAGCAGTTGAGAGCATTATCACTTATGGCCCTGAGGGGTCCATTGCCTTGCTGAAGGTCCCACCGCTAGTGGGTATCAGACGTGTGACTTGAACTCAGATCACCCTGATGGGAATCTCAGGCCTATCATCTATTTGGTACATCTAGCTATATCAGAAAATGCCTTAGTTTATTGCTTTTTCAAACTTTATGTTTGGTATAAATTTGGTATAAATAAACAAACCATTTATTGAGCACTCATTTTGGGTAAAACCATCCTTTAGATGCTGTTGGGGAAAACAGAAGACTTCTTGGACCCTTCCCTCAAGAAGCACATAATCTATGGAGAGATAAAACATGAACAAAGCAATTCCAACGTAGCATGTACAAGTGATCCATTCTAAGCTCTAAATAACTGCTGCAGGAAATTACAGGCAAGGGGTACCTGAGGCCAGGCATTGGCCAAGCCAGACTTTCTAGATGAGCTTGATACAGTGAACAATTATCACTGGAGAGGAGTAAGGGAATTATGCTGTGAGAGTGAGGGAGCAGGAGGAGGAGATGGCAGCAGCCCCTTCTCAAGACTTAACTGTCTTTGTCAACATGTTCAGGTTACAGAATTCCCTCAAAAGACGGAGATGAGAAAACAGACGAAGATGGCGATGGGCCGTGTTCAGACGATGAAATGGTAACACACAGAGGCCTTCGAAGATCCCAAAGCATGAAGTCTGTGAAGACTGTCAAAAGTCGCAAAGAGGCCAGTCAAGTACAGTATTTGTTGTCCTTGATTAGGATTATGTGACTTCTTTGCAGTGTTATCTTAGAGGACTCTTGCCCACAAAGAAAGGCCAATGAAAATTTGATGTAGTCAATAGGAAGGCAGATTTTATGGAAATTGGAATTTTGAAGGGTTCAAGAAGTTCAGAATTGAGCATATTTCTCACTGTGCAGTAAGATGCTAGACGGAGAATGGAATGTTCCAGTTAATCAGATATTCTAGTGAGCAGAATCACCATATCTTGCCAGAGGGGACCCTGCACAAAAAACAAGAAGGCAGCTGCCAGAAAGCAAAGATGACTGACTTTGTAGCAGCCGGCCTTCAAAGATGAGATGTGTTAACATACACTGCACACTTCCACCATTCTCAAGAATTAGTGACATCACAGGGCAATGTGGAATCATTTGGTACATCAGGGTCATCATTCCAAAAGGCAAAGAAAAATGCAGAAGCATGTTCATTGGCTGGAGGACTAGGGACCAGAATTTTCTATGACAACCCCACTATCCCTGGGGTTATACTTGTCATTGTTCCACCATAATTCAAATTACATTTTTAAGGAGTTTGTACTGGGTTTTATATGTGTGCATATCTGTGGGCTCATTGAGGCATAAAAAAAAAAATCTGATGAAATAGTGGAGCTAATAGAAATGAATAACGTACGATGTGCATGACTTAATATTATACTGATTTAAAGTTAAATGCTTAGCAATAGAAGTTGGGGTTTCAAGCAGCCATATTTAATAAACTATAACCAGTGACTATTTATAATAAGATCTTGTGCTTCTCTCCTCAGGTACGGTACGGCTCATTAAAATATAAAGTGAAGAAAAGACCACAGGTGTATTTTTAGTGGACCAAATATCTCAGAGTGAACTGCTGTAATGCAGTAACTTGACTTCAATACATCCTGTATTTGTCCATTTAAAATAATTCCTCGAGGAACAGCGATGATAGGATGGATAGAGATAGCTTTTATCTGTTAAGTACGTGGATAGGTTTTATTTCTCTAATTATTACTTAATAATCTTGACTATTAAAAGCTATTTATATAAACTGTAGTTCTTTCAACTCTGAAGATAAATTACAAATGATAGAAAATGTTACCCCTTTTTAAGTTGGTTAACACTAATTGAGTCTTTGCTGTACAAGGCAAAAGCACACACACAAAAAATTTCTTTAGTATACTTGAAAAGAACATTTTTCTGGTTCAGGAAACTTTACAAAGCCTTTATGGTTATTGTAATTTGCTTACCTCCATTTGTGCTATGTAAATTATATAATGAGTCATGAAAGAGACCAATTTATTCTAAATTTGTGCATTGGTACAGTGAGCACAGAAGGAGAGAAAATAAGTTACATTTTGTATATCCTTGGAAATTTTACTTGTGTAAGATTTTCAGGTCTCCTAATCCTCACCAAGTTTTAAAACTGATTTGAAAACCAGGTATCTACACCCAGCACTTTTATACCTATACAGCTTTGCACACTTAAAATTGTTTACTTTTTTACAGCTGTACATTTTTTTCTTTTATTGAAACTATTTTCACCGTTCTTTGTCTCATTTTGCCATGTCATATGTATGCTTTGTTCTCTTTAATTTTTCTTCCTGTGGGTTTAATTCTTTAAATGTATTTTGATTTTGGAAACATGAAACATAACTGACCTTTTCATTAAATATCCATTTTAGGTTTTTAAAATTACTTTACCTTCTCACGAATGAGAAGCAATGTGTGACTGATACCTACTTTTACATTTGCAGTTCTGTTTTGCAGTTAAATATAGTATGTTCCTATTAATAATACCAATTAAGCTTTTTAGTTTTAAAGACAATACTAGCTTAAATATAGTAATGGTAAGCAGTCCAACACTGCACCCCAATTTTGTGAACTGTCTCAAAGCTTGAAGCATAAATTATTGGTTTTATGTGAATCTCAGTGATCGATTTCTGAGTCTGGCATCGGCTGGCTCCATTTCATTGAATCACTTCTCTCCTGGCTAAGATGTCTCCCCTGAGGATGAGGACATCCCAGTGGGAAATATAAGGATTGTTATCTTTTTTCATCTGAAAAACCATTTCTCTACGAGGAAAATGTATCCTAATGAGTCTTCTTTTAGCAAAAGGTTTGGGGGTTTAAATTATTGAGGCTTGAATAATGGACTCTTACTATTATGTACCTGGATTGCTTTCTTCACATTGAAAATCAAAGTCTTTTGAATGTGATGCTGTGTAATTTTTTTTAAAGCCAAAATCTTTTGACTGTGAAACAATATGTGTTTTTTGGAAATTGGATTTTTACCTCAAAGAATTGGTGACCCATTTGGTAATCAGGAAATTGAAATTTTAGAATATCTCACACATGAATTGCAGATGGGATTATATTTGTTCAGAAGTTATATTCTGATATCCTACTAGTTCTCCCCGACTCTTGCAACGCTCTCCCCTCTCCCCCCCAAAAAAGACTGTGACAGTGAAAGCCATTGGTCCTTTTGTCCTCTGCACTTCTTCTGGAATAGAGGTGTTTCACTGGTGGGAAGAGGAAGGTTTGCTTGGAAATCGCATCTTTATTGACACATGGTACATTTCCCATTGATGCCCTTTCTACTCCTGCTAATTAACAAAAGACAACAATTAGTAACTCTCTTTCCCCCCAGAATTAGCTCATTCTTCTCCTTGATTATTTAAGAGAATTCACCACTTTCTCTCCTGAATCACTGGGATTTATGATCACCAGCTCTTCAGGGAGAAAGCTTTGTTTACATGCTTGTAGTGCTGGCCTTGTTCATGCTGGTTAGAGAAAATCATGGCATTTTCTTGTGCAAAAAACTGTTACTGGTCGTGACGGTCATCACCCCTGGATTCCATGAAACCTAGAAGAGTGTGCAGATTGGCTTTGTGCGGGCCATGTTTATGACTAAACCCACAGCATCGGGGCTGTAATGTAGCCTTTGTCTTACTGATCTTCCATCAAAGGATAAAATCTTGTTCAGCAGGAAAAAGGCAGAGGCACTTCCTAACTTGGAGGGGACGTCATCCTCTTGGGAACCTGAAGTTTTTTCTAGAATCATAGCTCCAAAGTGAAGGTTAGAAGTAGAAGCCTTTTGGAATTATAAAAAAATTTTTTAAAAATCCCTCTTCCTCTTAAAGGATTTCTGGTCCCCATTTTCAGAGGAGACAGATAACGTCACAGTTTGCTCTGTGGCCTTCTTGATTCTCTCCACTTCTTCTCCCCCTTTCCCCTGTTACTTGCTTTTGGAATGTTTTTCTTAATGCTTCTTCTTTAATCAGTTCCCCCCCCATCACCACCACCAATTTTACTTGTGTTTTGGAGTCCAGTATTCTACAAGATTCTAATTTTTTTTTTAATATATCCCTGTTGTCTCTTTTTCCTTCATTACCAGAAAATTCCCTTTTGTTCACCGTATTCTCCTCTTAAATCTTAAGGGAGATGATGATCGCTCTTGAGTCAGGGTGCCTTGTCTGTGAGTGGCGCTCCCAGGAAGCCACCTCTACCAGCCTGTGCCAGGGCACCTAGCAGCCAGCCACGGGTGCCTTACCTGTTTGTAGCACTTCTTCCGTAACCAGATAAGTTTATCTGTTCATATTTTGTTAGGTTATGGAATTAGTTTGTCATTAATAAAAATTAGATATTTCCAGAGTTTATTCACAGTAGCAAGAATTTATCACTTACCCTTGCAGCCTGTAATATTTTTCTTTTAAAGTGAGCCAGAAATGTCTAATATGGACGAAAATGTCTAATACATACAAACATGTTCAATACAGTCAGACCTGCCCTGGGGCCCTTTCATATGTACCATATATGATAGATTTTGGTTAGAGAATGATACAGCCATCGTTACCAGCCATGATTACTTGACCATGTTTTATTGCTTACATATAACAAAAAATTTTAAGCATTTTCAGGGAACTTAATCCATATGTTACCACCAAAGATTTCTACAGTGTTATGAATTATGTAACAGAAATAGCTGAAAAACACAAATTAACTGAAATGTGCTTTCCTTTTTTTCTTTCTTGACTAAAGCAATTTGCTCCTCAAAAGTGTTTGAACTTTTTGTTAAACATTCATTTCCATCAAAACATCATTCACCAGGTCCTATGCCTATTTTAATTAGAATGTCTTCTTCCAAATTCTAATTTTGATCATCTTTGTCAGGAGAATTCTAAGGAAAAAGCACATATTGAAAGCAAAAGAACCAGTGTCTCTCTATACACTGAGTAATTCATTTATAAAACAAAGATGCAGTTGTTGAGAATTATGCTACTTTGTAGCATGCATGGCATATTTTAAAATAAATACTTCGTCGTTATTTAAAACTAAGCCTTTCTCTTTTTTTCACACTTAAAAATGTTTAAGTTAAAATATTTTCAGGATTTAACTCCTATGCTAAGTGCCCCTGGATTTAATGTAAGAGTTTTCAAATTTTTACAGTTTAACATTTTCTACTGTAATACTTTTAAGAAACTGTTTAATAGCTTGAAGAAAAAACTTATTGCATTTTATGTCAACTTTTGTAAATTGTATATTTAAACACAGTGTTGTGGGTATTTTTCTTATTCTGTATGATTTTTAAAAAATTTAATAAACTTTAGATTTATTCGTGATGAGCTGAACATTCCTTTTGTCACATTGCCCCTCTGTGATGCAGTTCAGTATATGCTTTAGGTGACCTCCAGCATATACTGCATGCCGGTCCTCCAGTCTTTTCTTGACTCCCCAGCATACTCCTGACTAGCTTTTACAAGCTTTCCCAGGCTCCAGCAGACTTGACCTTTCAGCCCCTTTCTTTCATTAGATGACCTGACCATCTTCACTGAAAATATTGAGGCTGCCCATTCTGAACTCCCTCACCTCCCTGCCTCCATACCTCTAAACAGTTCTCTACATTCCCTATTCCTCTCATCTTTCTCGAGTGTATCAGAATCTCAGAACTGGCAGGGTCATCAGAAGGCCAGACCGGAACAAGAATCCCTTCTATGGCCTAACCAAAGACCTTCGGCATTGGGGAACCCACTTCCACTCTGTGGACCAGCTCCTACTTTTGCACAGGCCCCAGTCTATACAAAGACCATGCACCAAGAATCATTCCTCTGAACTCTTTGTGGCACAGTGTATAGAGTGCTGGTCCTGTATTCAAGAAGGCCTAAGGTCAGATTCAGCCTCTGGACCCTTACTACCTTTGTCCCTGGGCAAGTCATTTAACTTCTTCTTCCTCAGTTTTCTCAACTATTAAATAGGAATAATAATGGTACTTACCTCAAAACTTTGTTGTGTTAACAAAAGACCCCCAGGCCCATAAAGGGACCTGAAATGAAACCAAGAACAGCCACAGATTACAAAGCTTTATTAGCTGAGAAAAGGATTGCAGAGGAGAGAAGATACTGGGGAGCAGAGAGGGAGAGAGAGTTCTCAGCTGCTCAAAGGGAAGTGGAAAAAGGGTGAGAGAATATAGTGTTTAGAGGCTTTGGGTCGGGGGTAAGAGAGAAGACATCTGTAGACACAATAAGCCATGGTGTTTACAAAGTCCCAAGTAAGGTCTTGAGTGTGCAGCTGCTGCTTAAGGTTACCCTTGAGCTTTTGGGTTTCTGGCAGCTACAGGCATCTCCAAATTCAGCTAGAGTTCACTCGCAAAGGATCACTGGTATATCAAGCAGCTTTGGGCTTCAGAAGCCTTTCCGATTGGCTAGTTGTAACTCTGACAGGTTGGGCTAGTCATTACAAAGCCCATGTTAACAGTTGGCAGGATCAAATGAGATAATATTTGTCAAGTGCTTGGCACAGTGCCTAGGACATAGTAGGCTCTATAGAAATGCTTATTCCCTTCTCATCTTCAGGTACTCTACTGATTTCATCTCCTCTGTCTACAAATATGCACATTTTCCCTGTTTGCCTGGCCCCAACAAAAAAAGGCTTTACCCTAACTCTAATCTGCTTTTTTCTTAAGCTATCTTTCTATAACTTTTCTATTAAACTTCCAAAAGGTCTACACTCACTGTCTCCAGTTCTTTCCTAAATCTCTAGGATGTTATTTTTTTTTTTGTTTTCCCATATTTTTATTGAAACTGCTATCCAATGGCTTTAACCCAATCCTCATTGTCCTTGACCTTTCTGTAACATTTCATCTCTTCTCTCCTTCCTCACTTTGCCTGACATGGTTTGTGCCTGGTTCTCCTGCCTGTCTGACTTCTCAACATCCATCACAGATTCCTTCTTTCACCCCTAAGTGTGTTTCCCTCAGCCTTCTCACAGTCAGCATACTCTCCTTTGGCCATTTGACTCATTCTCCAACCTTTAATTATCACATTCATGCAAACAGCTTCTAAATCTATTCATTCCTGCTCCCTCCAGTCTCACATTTTGCAGGATCTCAGCAACTCAAAGATGGGTCCTCCTTGATCACCTCGTCCAAACCATCCTTGACCAAGAAACCCTTCTACAACATTCTTGTTGACCCCCGCTTGAGAAGGCCTGCTGTAGAGTTTGGGGAAGGAGAAGGGCAACTTACTATACCCCATCATCCCATTGCACTTTTGGACAACTCATTAGGACGTTTCTTACTGTCTGCTGGACAGCTTCACTTGATGTAATGATGGTATTACAAACTGTTAAAAAAAAAATCTCCCCCCCCCCTTCTGGTGGTACCTCTTTAATGTACCACTATCCTCTTAGACACACAAGTTCCAAATCTCAAGGGTATCTTTCTTTTTTTTTTCTTAATAGTATTTTGTGTTTTCCAATTACATGTAAAGATAGTTTTCACCATTCACTTTTATAAGATTTTGAGTTCCAAATTATTTTCTCCCTCCCTCCTCCTCAAGACAGTATGCAATCTGATATAGGCCGTACATGTACAGTCATATTAAACATATTTCCACATTGGACATGTTGTGAAAGAAGATTCAGAACAAAAGGGAAAAACCATGAGAAAGAAAAAAAGAGAAAAAATAGTGTGCTTTGATCATCATTCAGACTCCATAGTTATTTCTCTTGTTGTGGATAGCACATTCCATCTTGAGCCTTTTGGAATTGTCTTAGATCATTGCATTGCTGAGAAGAGCTAAGCCTGTCAAAGCTGGTCATCACACAATGTTGCTGTTGCTGTGTTCAATGTTTTCCTGGTTCTGCTCACTTCACTTAGTATCAGCTCATGTAAGGCTAGGTTTTTCTGAACTCCACCTGCTCATCATTTCTTATAG